TAATGACATGGAAAAATTCTTTTGTGAAAAAAATACCRTGTAAAACAATCACAACTATTAAGAGGAAAAATCACTAAAAATTGTTCATAATTATTTCCCACTGAGAGGAAAATACACTAAGATATCTTTGGGTCTTCGGCATTATAGTTCAATATTATTTTTCCTATGTCTCTRTATATTCTCAAAGTGTTTTTTTAAATAATAAGTATATTTCCAATAAAGGAATACATATATAGTGTCATTTGAGATGGGGAGGAGGATGCTGGGAGGAGCCCAATAGTTCTTGATTCTGTCAATGCATCTAATTCACTGAGAAGCTTTCATATCATCCTAACCCAAGAGACCCACCCTACACCAATTAACTCAGTAAATCTGGGGGAATGCCCCCAAATAAGTGTTTTTAAAAGGTAACCAGGTGATTCTAATAAACTGTGTGGCTTGAGAACTACCATAAAACCTCTTTAATCACTGCTTTTAAAACTTTAATATATACAAAAATCATCAGAGAATCTTGTTAACATTGCAAATTCTGATTCAGTATATGTCAGGATTCAAGACACTAGTCCATGAAATATACCTTGAATACCAAGGTCTTCAATCTCTCCTTTTTTTTTTTTTTTTTTTTTTTTGTACCAGGGATTGAATCCAGGGGCACTTAATCACTGAGCCACATCCCTATCCCTTTTTGTATTTTATTTAGAGACAGGGTCTCACTAAGTTACTTAGAGCCTTGATAAATTGCTGAGGCTGGCTTTGGACTTGCAATCCTCCTACCTTAGCGTCCCCAGCTGCTGGGATTTAGAGGTATATGCCACTACACCTGGCCAAGGTCTTCAGTCTTAGCAATTGTGGGCAAACTATTTCTTTTATATTTCATTTCCTTTAATTATTATAAAAATTCTGTGAGATAGTTGCTGTTACCATCTCCTACCTTACAAATAAGGAAGTGGAGTCTCAAAGAAGTTATAACAAAAACCTGACTGGCTTTGTAACATCATCCAACACTTGAATTTCTTTGTGTTGCAAAGAAATAACATGCTACATAACATTTAGATCTATACGACCTCAAATAGCTAACTMAGCATAAAATGCAGAAGGCTTTATCACTTTTTATATTCACCTTTACTTTTAGTTTATATATTTGGATGAATTTGTTAGGGGATAGACAGATGTGAATGGTGGGAACACAAGAGTAAGAGAATAATTCTATAAAATGAGCCTACTATGCTAACCCCACCTGCTTTCCTTCCAAGAAGCAATTAACCTGCATCCCCGCTGGGCCTCAATGGAAAGGGTATGTCACATTCCTCAGCAAACTACTTGTTCACTGCAGGAGAAATAAACAAGGCCCAAAACAATGTTGATAAAAGGAACCCAAATTACCCGAAAGGAAACTTTTGTGACCAGATCCTGAAACTCTGGGAGATAAGGATAGTTCCTTCTAACCATAAAATTTGTAAGAATGTATGGTTAAGAATTCAATTAGGGGCCAGGTCATACCTCAGTGGTAGAGTGCTTGCCTAGCATGTGTGAGTCACTGGGTTCAATCCTCAGCACCACATAAAAATAAATAAATAAAATAAAGGTATTGTGTCTATTTACAACTAAATATATATGTATGTGTATATATGTTTTTTTTTTTTTCTTTAAGGAATCCAATTAGAACTGGTCACCATGGGCCAAAGTGAACTAAAGTTGCAATGACAGTAGAGACTAGAAAGTCTGATGTCACCTTGCTATTAGTTGAAAGTCAAGAAGTAGACCTGGGTGGAACTCTATGGAAACTTTTCTGGGATGCCCAATAAAACTGGAGTGCAAGAGAGGCACATTGTCCCCCTCCTCTCTGAGAGGACTCACTCCCTTGAGAGTCCCTAACCCTTCAATAAACTCATTCCTATTACTCTGAAAAACATGCCTGAAATCTTTCTGACTCTATCTCAAGAACTGAGATTTGAAGAGGGTGTCTTCATGCTGCCTCAGCTTCACAGAGAGCCCCAGATCTGTAACAGTGTAAATCTGTATGTACAGTTCTGTAACCTGATTTTTTTTTCACTGAACATATTGTGACCATTCTATTATTCTACTAAAAACTCTATAAACAGTATTCTACTCTATATTTATACTGCCATTTACTTAACCATTTCCTAATGCTGCATATATAATTCATTCCCAATATTATCCTATTAAAAACACCACCAAAATTAACATCCTGTGGTCTGGACTTTCCATTCTCCCTCCCTCCCCACCTCCACACCTCCACCCTGCCCCCATCTAATAGAATTTTAGAAGTAGATTAAAGGACTTGCAGCAATTCAGCAATTCCTTAGTTTTGGTTTTGTTTTTTTTTTWAACAGAAAGAGAGAGAGAGAGAATTTTAACATTTATTTTTTAGTTTTCAGCGGACACACATCTTTATTTGTATGTGGTGCTGAGGATCGAACCCAGGCCCCCAGGCCGCATGCATGCCAGGCGAGCATGCTACCGCCTGAGCTAYATTCCCAGCCCAGCAATTCCTTAGTTAAAGGACAGTCTTCTGCTACAATGAAAATATCCCTGGAGAAAGATGCCTTTAGCCATTTTAACACTCACCAAAGATTGCCAACACCATTTTAACATTTTGTGGTTGAGATGACAAGATATCATCCTATATAAGGCCACTAAGGGATAGAGACTCAGAATGTGCTTATTAAAAGACAAAGGTAGAAGAGGGAAGGTGAGAAAAGTTTGAAGTCAGGAACTGTCCTGTGTGGAGCTGGAGAACRCATTTGAATTCAGTGCCCTTCAGGTCTCCCCAGGAGATAGGAAAGTGTGAAGACATAACAAAGATAAACCTGGCAATTTCATCATTTGTTTAGGGCCTTTCCTAGTCTTTGGTTACCGTATTTCCCCTCGCAATCGTCGCAGATTTTATGCCCCCAATTTTTTGCTGATCTTATGAGAAGTCGTTTTGTTTGTTGTTTGTTTGTTTTTATTGTTGTTCAACTTTTCGTTCACGGAAAACTCTTTCTACGGTCTGTTTCTGGGCTCCACAGCGACTATAATCACTTTCAGCTTGAAGCAGGAAGAATATATATATATTTTTTTTATATTTACCCACAATCAGAAAGAAAGGCTTCGGACGTTGACTTATTGCTGACAGACGAACTGTACGGTTTAGCTATCACCGCGAGATGCAAGGCTTGCCAAATCCTGTGGCAGCCTAGCCAGCAGCCTCCCCTTGTGGCTATGGGTCTTCAATAGGTTGACTGACAATACCGTTAACACCGCAGCGCTCTAAAGAAATCCCGAGAATTGGCTTTTGGAAACCCACTGACAGCGCGCGGAGGCTGAGAATTCTAGGCTCAGGGCTCGCTGAGCGCAAGACAAAACGCGCATTCGTATACCACCCGCAATAGCAATGCTGCTCCGCTTTCCTTTTAAGCGTCTGGAGAACAAAAGTATACCTTGCGATCTTTACGGATGAAACGTTATGCACCAATTTTTGGATTGAAAATTAGAGTGCAACGATTATGTGGTGAAATACGGTATATTCTGTAAATACTTAATTGCTAGATATGCAGATTCTTTGATGGGGCAAATTTGACCGGTATCAAAGGTTAGGTTATTGTTAACTTCAGGGATACTGAGTGAATGTGACTATGAGTTGCTAAATGTCATTTACGTTTTAGGGATTATCTTCTCACATAGCTTTGATAGTGTCTATGCCCCTGAATACGGTAAACAAAATTGAAGAACTTTATAATTAGACTTTTGCTCACTTACACCATCAGAAAGGGACTTGCAGTCTGGAGTTAAGAGTAGAAAATCCTTTTTGAGACAATCAGTTTGAACAATTGAGTAAGTAATTCCATAGTTCCATCCAGCCACCACCTGCAATAATTTGGGGATAAGAGTTTAAAATAAAACTTAAATACTATTCACAGCGAGATATAAAAGTTATGAGAAATTTAAAGTACTGCATAGCATAAGTGCTCAAGAAAACTATTACTATTACCTGACAAAAGTCATTACTGAGTAAATATAGAGTACCCTGAGACTCAAACAAAACACTTAAACACACACACACACACACACACACACACAACACACACATTTACACACACACTCTCATGCACATCTACAAATGAAAAGCAATAATAGATGAACTTGCTACATTTCCTTTAATAAGACCTAGCAATACTTCCTCTGCCAGTCTGCATTAAAAAAAGTTTTAGTGAATTTTGTGAAACAATAATGCTCTCTCTTCTAGATAAGAAAACTTTAGAGGGGGAGTGGCCTTTATAGGTTCTGAGAATACCAGGTAGTGGAATTTTCCTTCTTTATTCTGGGCTGGCCCCACCCTGATAGTTGTATAAGGACAGAATTGAGTAAAAAGTGTGTCTTGCCTCCAGGCAAGTCATAGGTGTCTTAAATTCAGAGAATTTTATTGACCAAAATGAATCACTCATAAGTATCTGAAAAGCAAGGGTCCCAGTGAATTAGCAGAAAAGACTCGGTGAACTGAACCAATAAAAAAAAAAAATAGAGATTATTAGGTATTTACTGTTTTCTCCATGATGATATAGAAATGTAATTTAGGGGCAACATAAAAAAAAAAAACAATCAGCCAGCCTTTTTAAGATATGGATTTTTTTTAAAGAGGGAGTGAGAGAGGAGAGAGAGAGAGATAATTTTTTTTTTAATATTTATTTTTTAGTTCTCGGCGGACACAACATCTTTGTTGGTATGTGGTGCTGAGGATCGAACCTGGGCCGCACACATGCCAGGCGAGCGCTACCACTTGAGCCACATCCCCAGCCCCAAAGATATGGATTTTTAAACTCTAAAGCCAGAATGACTTTTCCGTTTCTCTTTCTCTGGGAAAAATATGTAGTGATGACTACTTGCTCATTAAAACAGTTTGAAAGGAAGGATGAGTTATTAGCTACCCATTTTCCTTTGCATATTACACTCCCCACTCTTTGCTTTTGGTGCTCTTTACATGAAAACACACCCACAATCTTATGTTTTCCTCCCACCAATGATTTATTTTAGGTGATGAAACCCTGAAAGTAAAGATCTAAGAAATCTAAACCCTGAAAGTAAAGATCTACATCATGTGACATGAAAAATTTCAAAACAAACCTGTCTTTGGGCTCTTTTTACTTCTCCAAGAGCAAAGAGGTGGGAATGCTTCGTGTTGTTGTTAAAATGTTGAATGGCATGTTTCAAAATGGGCTCCAGGTCAGGGTTCTCAGTTGATATGGGATACACACAGCCCAGGCAGGTGTACTGGGCTGTCACCACAGGGCCCTCAGCTGAACGGAGAGAAGGCAAAAAGGCAGTGTTAGCTATCAAAACCAGCATCTGATACATTGTCTTGTCCTAAACCAAGAAGATATTTCATTCATTCATTAATCATTTACTTAAATTTAATTATTTGATTTTTTTTCTCCTCCAGTACTGGGGATTAAACCCAGGGGCACTTTACTACTGAGCTCCATCTCCAACTTTTAAATTTATTTTTGAAATTCTGAGACAGGATCTTACTAAACTGCTGAGGCTGGCTTTGAACTTCCAATTCTCCTGCCTCAACCTCCTGAGTCACTGGAATTACAGGTATGTGCCGCTTCACCCAGCCAAGAATATAATTTAGAAAGCTCTAACAAATTTTGCAGTAAACTCTCTATGCAGAAGGAAAAACAAGAATATAAAACTGCTTTTTAGCTTGGGGGGGGACTATCATTCACTCAGAAACATCTTATCTATATAATATCATGCAAAATTATTTTTAATGTATTGAATTAAATTAATTAATTAGTTTATTAATTTTTTTGATAGTGCTTAGGGATTGAATTCAAAGCCCTATGTATGATAGGCAAGTGCTCTACCACTGAACTATATCTCCAGCCCTTACTTTATTAAAAGTATTTTTAAATTACAAAAATTACACATGAATGTATCCTTTTATTAAAAATTAAAACATTGCAGATATATTGCTTATTTTTCAGTGATAATGAAAGCAGAAGCCTAACTCAGAGTTTAAGGTGTTTCATATCAATTCAATCTGACAAATGTGCTCTTTGMTCTAAGAGAAAAAGAGCCAGTGCAAATACAGATTCATTTAAAAATTTTTATGTTACACATATTGTTAAAAATTTCTTAGATCTTTATGTTTAGGATTTCATGCATCACCTAAAAGAAACCACTGGGGGAAGGAATACATGTGGCTGCCTGGCTGTGTTTTTATATGAAGAGTGCTGAAGGCCAAGAGCTTTCTTGTTAGTCAAGGTGACTGGGATGGTGCACGTGTGAAGGGGCAAAGGTATCACACCCTTTCCTTTGAGGCTGGTCTGCACCTGCTATGATAGGCCCAGCGCTAAGCTGGGCTGTAGGGAGACCTCCATGTGTTAGTAATGGTCACTTTTATGAAGGATGGGAGAGACAGAAGTGTAGACAGATCCTTTCAATATGATTCAGCAAGAGCTTATAAAGACCCAGAGTGAGGTCAAGGAGGTCTCTAAGAAAAAAGTGAAGAYGCATGATCTAAGGCAGGTGGGGGTGACCTGAGGTGTCACCATCAGGTCTGAGGGCCTAAGAGAAGGGAGGAGAGGCTCCCAAGGAAACAGGATAGTTGTGGCACAGTAGCGTGGAATGTGGCATACACATGTTACCAGAGCTTTGGGAACAGTCGGTAGAGACGACTTGGGCTGCTGAGCCGGGTTCTCATTCCCTAGGTCAGGGTACCCAACTGCCTTCWTATTCAACTATATTCAAAGAGACACAGACTCCATGGTGGATCCGATAAAAGTTATGGCCCCCTCCCCCAGGAAAATGCACATATTCAACATTCTCCACATAAGTCCAGGGCATCAGAGACCTCCAGAAGAGCCTGAAGAAGAGTGTGCTGTAAGAATGGGGAATTGCAGAAGGGTTTCTGGTAAATGGTGTGAGATATTTGAAAAAGAGCCTGTATTAAATTATCAAGTAAATTTCACAACAGGCAGCCCTAACCGGAAAGGGGGACATAGCTGCAGAATGAGAGTCGCACTTGGCAGGGTCACCCCCTGAGAGCCTGAGGCTTCCTCACCCTGTGGGTAWGGAAGAACCTAACACAGGCAGGAGGCCAGCTGTGGTGGACAGTGCTGCCCCTCAGTGGTTAGCTTCTCAACATGACTGTCCTCACACCTCTTTCTTGGATTTCTCTCAATAAATAATCCCAGCAACTCAGAGGCTAAGGCGGGAGGATTGCAAGTTTGAGGCTAAYCTCAGAAGCTTAGCAAGACCCTAAGACCCTGTCTCACAATAAAAGATCAAAAGGGATAGAGGTGTAGTTTAGTGGTAGAACCACTTGGATTCAACTCCCAATATCCCCAAACAACAACAACAACAAAACTGGAGAGGAAATCAGTGGGGAAAATGAGAGAATCACTAATTATTATTAAAAAAAAAGATATATAGAGAGATGAGACAAATACAGAAGGTAGAAGAGGAGATAGAGACAAGACCAGCAGTTTGCCTTGTCTCCAACCCGTTTTTATTCAGAAGATTGAGTGGGGAGGGAGAGAAGAGAAGGATAGCTTTTTGAGGGTGAGAAGAATAGAGAAAGAAGTACATTCAGCTTTTCTGGGTGACCAAATAATTTCCCACCCTATCCAGTTTTTCTTTCTTCCTTTCCTTTTTTTTTTTTTTTTTTTTTTGGTATTGGGGAGTTGAATCCAGCGTGATCTACCACTGAGCTACACCTCCAGCTCTTTTGATCTTTGATTGTGAAACAGGGCCTTAGGGTCTTGCTAAACTGCTGAGGTTAGCCTCAAACTTGCAATCCTCCCGCCTTAGCTTCCGAGTTGCTGGAATTACAGGCGTGCACCAGCACACCCAGCAGTCCCCTCTAGATTTCTAACTTTGCCTATTATCCCAATACAACATAACTTCTGCAATGAGAAGTTGCATATTTGCCCAGTTAATATTTTCCTGACACATATTTATGGAGATACTTGGTACCTCTGCCACATTAGCAAAAGGGCTAATAGTGGTTGTACTTGTTGACAAGTTGCTCCATAATTATGTCCTTAAGCAATTTCATTTATTGATGTTCTATTCTACCAACTCCATTACTTCCTATCTGTGGGATCCTGGACAAGTTATTTAACTGCTCTTTCTGTTTCCTCACCTGAAAAATGGTGATGTTAATATCTACCTCAAAGAGTTGCTCTGGGGATTAAATAAGTTCATGCACGTGAAATGCCTAGAACCATGCCTGGAACACGAGTGCCCAATAGATATTAATTATTATTTTTGTTCAGATTATCATTAATAATTATCAAGATAGTTAGACATGGCGCCTTCAGGCCTCCTGTCTCCTTTCAGTCTCACAGAGCTCCTGAGCAGCAGGAAACACTGCTATCTCCCAAGTGACAGTGAAACAGGTGACAAAGATCTCTGAAAGTTCCAGGCAGCACCAACCTCAGAGCCTCTGCTTGCCTTATTCTGGGATACTGCCTACAGTTGAGGGCAGGTCTGTCTTCCCGCCCTTTTAGCAGGGGACCCCCTCCCCCACCCCCACACACCTGATCCAAAGTGACAGGTGAGGAATAGAGTTGGAATGGGTCTGGCATGATGATTGGCATATGATGGCCCAACATCAGGGCTCTGCAGTTCCACCCACCCATATAGCTATGCTCCTAAGCATTGCAAATGTCATTGCAACTGCCACCTTGTGGGAGGGGACAGTCACCTGGCCTGGGTTGTGTTCCAGATACATAGAAATGGCTAATCTCCTCTGGGCATTGTCACCAGATATATCAACTACCTGGAATAATCTGGCAGATCTGGGTAGCCACGGAGAATTTCGTACTCTCCCTCTTCGCCACGTTTGCTGTGCATTCTCCTCTGGCCTAAAAGAAAAGATAGAGACCGTTTACCCCAATCTTTTCTATAGAGAAGTCCACCCAGTACTGTTACTAAATATGCCTGTCTTTAAAAATAAAAATTTAAAAAAACTTGCGAAGTTTTTTTTTTCTAACAGAGTTTTAAGACATGAGAATGAGCATTTTTTTTTCTTTTGTAGCCTAGTGATTGTGTTTTATAGCCCACTGATATTCATGATGTGTCAGAGGAGAGGCAATATGAATGGGGAGGCTTTTAAGAGCCTCAGAGACACTTCTTTTTCACCAAGATATTCACAGAGCCTTAGAACCTCCTGCTAAACTCTCTGCTTGCTTTACCTCTTAATTTCAGTGGATTAACACCATTTGCACAAGGTTCAAATTGACCTATGAGAAAGAGCAAGGACCTTGGCATCTGCCACTTGCTCACTGTTCCCTCTGACAAGTCTCTTTGCCCCTCAGAGTCTCAGTTTACCCATCTCATAGGAGCTCTGCCACACTTGTTGTGAAGAGGAAGTGTGMAAACTCACAATAAGGTGACCCTCAGAGGCCCACCACACCACGGGCACTTTGGCGGCTTTCCACTTCTTGTTGAACAGTATCTTTTTGTTATTTTTCTATCCTGTCATTTTTCAGTCACGCCCATTGGACTTGCCCTAAGCACCAGACATTATTCTATTAGGATAAAGCACATCTTCATCCCCACAGCTCAGGAGGCGGGTAGGGCAGCTCATTAGCCCTGACTACCAGAATGCTCAATGAGGGGCAGAACAGCACCACCATCCTGAGACATTTTATAACTACAGGTGACTGTCATGTTCAAAATGCACAGAGTATGACAATATTCTGATATCAAAGAGGGGGAATTCCTGGACTGTGAAAAGAGAGACTTGCTTCTCAGGCAGACAGTAATTCCAACTTTCCTTAAGATAAAATAACTTCTGTGGTGCACCAGGCATGTGGTAGGTGTTTGGTTAGTTATGGGTGATTTTAGTATGTTTATTTGTTTTGTTTCATTTTCTAATCCCCCCTTTTAAGGATAGCCTTTCTTCACAAGGTCCTTTTCATAATTTGTCTTATTTCATCTTCCAACAATACAATGAGGTCAATATYATCTCTTTATAGGGGAGAACATCAAATCAGAGAGGTCAAGTAGCTTTCCTGCCACCACCCAGGTACTTGAAGGCAAAGTCAAGATTTGTACACAGGCCCAAGTAGATGAAGTACCTGCATTCTTCTCTCATTGGACCTTGAGCTCAGCCCAAATGTTGATCTGCTATCTCTCTGAGGTCTGACCCCCAAGTCCTGGGTAATCACTAGGATCTCCTTCTCATGGGAAGGCTTATCCATGATTTTTCTATCTATGCAAGAACACASATATTGGGCTGGGGTTGTGGCTCAATGGCAGAATGCTTGCCTCGCATGTGTGAGGCACTGGGTTTGATTCTTAGCACCAGATATAAATAAATAAATAAGATAACTAAAAAAAAAAAACCTAAAAAAAAAGAAGAGCCCAGATATTAATTAAGAATCTGACTTTTCTACAAATTTGAAGGTTTGTGTGCCTCCCTCAAAAACAGGCTCAATAATATTAATAGTTCCAGTGAGACATCCACAACTGATAAATGGATACAGAAAAACACCTGGTACATATACACAAGAGAATATCTTTTTAATTCAGTCATTAAAAAAGGTAGATTTATCATTTGCAACAATGTGGATGGAACTGAGGATCATTATGCTAGTGAAATAAGCCAGGCACAGAAAGGCAGGGACCACGTGACCTCACTCATATGTGGAATATAAAAAAAAAATTATCTCATAGAAGTTGAGGGTAGAACAGTGTTTACTGGAGGCTGAAGAGAGCAGTGCCGGGTGTGGAGGGGGATGGAGGGTGGCAGGGGTGAGGAAAGGTTGGTCAGTGGGTACTGAATTTCGATCAGTGAGAGCAAGAAGTTCTGATGTGTCGTTGCACAGGAGGGTGACTGTAGGTAATAGTTATGAACTGTGGATTTCAAAAGATTAGAAGAAAGGATTTTGAATATTGTCACCATAAAGAAAAGCATGCACGTTTGAGGAGGTAGATATGTTTAACCTGATTTAAACATTACATAATGGATACAGCATCAGAACATCACACGGTCGCCCATGAATAAGTACGATTTTTATGTTTTCATGTTGGGAATCACCTACATACTYACAGCTTCCTCCGCTCCCTTGTAGTCACAATCCTGCCAGGTTTTGCCACTTTGAACAGGACAATCACCCTCCTTGATTTGATACTTGAGGGAATAAAATGTTTCAGAGCCAACCTGAAAAGAGCAACCACAGATTATGGAGTTCATACAGCTGGCCCACCAAGAATAATCTGAGTGGGTTCTGAGATAGTTATTAATATTGGCCTTGATCTGATTTGATTCAATGAGAGCCACACATTCACTAAAAATATAAATATTTACATCTTTTTTAAAAATATTTATTTATTTTAGTTCTCGGCGGACACAACATCTTTGTATGTGGTGCTGAGGATCGAACCCGGGCTGCACGCATGCAAGGCGAGCGTGCTACCGATTGAGTCACATTCCAGCCCAAATACTTACATTTTTATAAATATTTCTACAGAGGAAAATTCATATTATATTTACAAAAATGTTAGCTTATTTTTTTTTTTTTTTAGTGAAAACTAATTTACATGTACATATGTCTTTGAAAAAGCTGGGAAAGATATGTAGCAATCCATTAAAATATTTGTCTCTCAGTTGGATTATAATTATCTTTTGCTTTCTTCTTTAAGCAAACATTTCTAAGTTTTCTGACTTTTTTCCTAATAAACATACATTTGATAATTCTAAAGAATGAGAGATATTTAAATTAAAAATTATTAATAATTATTTCTGTGTGGTAGGATTAATAATGCATGATTTTAGAGTTTATTTACTTTATTTTCTATTTTTTTTCCTTCCCCCCAGCACATTTTTTAAAGCAGCTTTATTGAGATAAAATCACATCATATAATTCATCCACCTAAACAGTACAATTCAATGTTTTTTAATGTATTTACAACAATTGCCTTAATCCATCTTAGACCATTTGATCTCCCCTGCAAATGAAACCCTGCACCTGTTCTTAGTTATTAACAGTTACTTCCTATTCTTCCTCTCTCCATCTCCCTGGAAGTCAATAATCTACTTTCTGTCTGTCCGTATTTGCTTATTGAAGATATTTCGTATCAGTGGAATCACATAACATGTGGTTCTTCTTTCACTTTTCATAATGTCTTCAAAGCCTTGAAAGAATGCTAAGAATCCTTAGCCTGAAAGGATGAGTGATGTCGTGAATATATCAGTGCTTCATTCTATATATCAGTGCTTCATTCCTTTTTTGGGGAAACATAATTTTTCTAAGATGTCATACAATGAATTTTAATGTGCAGAGGTGAATTAGATGAGTTTTCAGATACAGAACTCTGGCATGTCAGAGCACCAAGGGGCCCAGGAGTCGATGTTGTCCAACCACTCATGTTGCAGCTAAGAGCAGGAGGTCTCCCAGAAGACAGGGCATGTCTCAGACCGCCTCATAACCTCAGGAAGGCAGAGCTAGCCACACTCCTTAGTCCCCTAGAGCCCAGGGTAGTGTACTCTAAGCCTGCCTGGTCACAGTATCTGTATCTGGGACATGATGGAGTCAAACGACATTATCTCGGGGCTGGGGATGTGGCTCAAGAGGTATTGCGCTCACCTGGCATGCGTGCGGCCTTGGTTCGATCCTCAGTACCACATACAAACAAATATGTTGTGTCTGCCGAAAACTAAAAAAATAAATAAATATTTCTCTCTCTCTCTCTCTCTCTCTCTCTCTCTCTCTCTCTCTCTCTCTCTCTCTATAAAAAAAAAAAAAAAAACAACATTATCTCCAAGATTTCTTCCTGCTGAAGAGTAGGAGGTGATAGGAGCTGTACCCACATGGCAAAGTAAAGATAAAATAGGATTATATGGACATTTTAGCATAAAGTCCAAATTTGCCACAAAATTAGTTGATGAAGACACTACCAATGAATTGTTGCTTGCAAGCAGCAGGATACAGAATTCCTTACACAGACATACTAGGTTGTGAAACAAAATGACTCGATTTTGCTTTCCAAAAAAATGATAAAATAAAAAACCATGTCGCCTAGGGTTTTCTCCTTTATCCTCCTGGTGTCACAGGGTGGTGGTTTATTTCTACTGAAGTAAAACATTTGCCTAACTAATCCAGAGAAGTAGTCTTTTATAGTGAAATTTAAACAAACTCTTGAAAGATTTGTATACCCTTGAACTTATACATCCTGACAGCATTTTCTCCTACCTGAGTTCATCAGGGCAGAGATAAAAGTATATTAAAAGTCAACCCAAACATTACTATTAACCTTGGTGAACTCAGCCACAAAAACATCATGGCAGATATTCTGCCTAATCCGGTAGAACCATGAMTCCTGACTCCTCTTAAATACACCGCATAGAGAACCCCCTCTCATTTAAGGTTTAGAGGTCTTTAGATTGTATTCTTAGGCCAGACACCTAGTGAATCAATCCCCTTTCTGCAGGCTCACTGAGTTCTTGGATTCTCCTGTAGCCCCTTTTACCTTTCTCCATTTTTTCTTTCTAGTATACTGCTCCCCTGCTCCCACCCCACTGGTATTGAGGATTCAATCCAGGGGCACTTCACTATGGAACTACAACCCCAGGCTTTTTTATCTTTTATTTTGAGACAGCATCTCACTAAGTTGTTGAGACTGGCCTCAAACTTGTGATCCTCCTGCCTCAGCTTCCTTGGTCTCTGGTATTACAGGCATATACCACTAGGATACTACTTTTTCTATCCAAAAAGCCAACTTTGTTTGCCCAAGGATAGCCATACCTTGCCTTCTACCCCTGGCTCTGCCTTCCTGAGGCTGTGAAGGGTAGAGAGCAGGGTGTGGCTAGGTATGCCCAAGGACTAGCCATACCCTGCTCTCTACCCCTACTTGCTGGTTGTTTTGTTTTTTCTTTTTCTCTCCCCATATACTAGGAGAGAGAGAGAAAAAAAAAACACCAAGTAGCTCTGGTCTTTTCCAACTGATTATCAGTCTTTGGTAGCTGTTATTGGTGGTGGTTGTGGTGGTGTTGTATAGTGTGTGTGTGTGTGTGTGTGTGTGTGTGTGTGTGTGACAGAGAGAGAGAGAGAGAGAGAACTGGGCTCTGAGTGATTGCACAAATCCCAAGTGACTTCAAGGTAAAACATGACTTACTTACCGTCTTATTGACCTCAGTCACACGGTACAACACAAACTGGTTGCCGCTTTGTATCCTAGTGTTATAATTCTTCAGAGCAGCATCCACAGCCTTAAATACATCCTCATCATCACAATCAATTTCCTCAGTGACAGATTCCTGGGATAAACTTGCTAGCAGCCTGGAGCAGAGGAAAAGGATAGTTATTAGTTTCATGATTCAACAGTCTCCCTGTAGAATCTGAGAGATGGTTTCCCTTAGAATTGGGAGCCAACTTGGATGCTGATTTTTAACAGTCTCCAGTCTCTTGTTTCCTCTGTTCTCTTCTCTCTCTACCTCAACACTTGGGACCTCAACACTTGGGGCCCTTCTGCCATACACTATTTGCTCTCTTCCAAAAGGACAAATAGCTCTGCCGGTTATCCAAGCAGATTTCAGCCTGTAACATTACAACACTTGGGTCACTGACCTGACTGTTTGCCTTTGAAAAGCACTTAGGAGCACATAGCACATTTTCCAGTGATTGCACAAGTTTGCATAAAAAATTAGAGCGGGGTCTAATAAAGGAGGAGAGAAAAGTAGCTCTGTTATTTCCTTGTGACTTTCCCAAAGCCATTTGTGAAGGTCACTGGGTGTGTAAACAAAGCAACAATGAGGGCAACCTGCAGACACTTTTCACATAAAATTTCTTTGCAGGATGTTTATCAGCCTAGAAGCAGGCTGCTATTAATTATATTGTATGCTTGGGAACCTAAGCACAGGGGTATCAAGTGAGTTCTGGGAATTTTACCCAGGAGATTAGCATGACTGGATATAAACTCTTGGCATCTTATCTGGCCTTTGGCCAAGCCAGCCTCTCTCTGCTCAATTGTATTAGTTCTATAAAGGAAAAGCTTCCTTGGGTAAGAGACAAAGTAAATTTAGAAAGAAAAGAAAGAAAGAAAGAAAGAAAGAAAGAAAGAAAGAAAGAAAGAAAGAAAGAGAAAATATTCGAAGAAAGAAGGTCTCAGGGTAGGTTAAAGATATGACTTAATACTCAGTAGATGTTTGCCTTCAAGTAAAAAAAAAAAAAGCAGAAAGAAAGAAGAAGAAGATAAAGATTGAGTCTTTGTTAGTACGTACTGGATCTCTAAGTTGGCAATGTCGTCTCCCTGAGAGTCCTGGGAAAAATGGGGTCAATATGGGCTGAATGGTGGCTTTACAGTGCTGATGGAGGAACATGTGCTTGGCAGTGTCTAACCTGGATTCCTGTCTTGCTCTTATACTTAACTGCTATGTTACCCTGAGCAAGTCAAGGTCACATAATATTCCCACCTTGGTTTTCTCACCTATAAAATGTAGAAAACCACAACATCTGTGTGTGTGTGTGTATGTGTGCACACGTGCACAAGTGGTACCAGAGATGGAATTCATGGGTGTTCTACCACTAAGCTACATCTCTAAACCTTTTAACTTTTTTATTTTGGGTCTGGCTAAGTTGCTGAGGCTGGCATCAAACTTGCAATTCTGCACCATTGCTCCTGACAGAGAATCATAATATCTTATTGGGGTTGTTTTGAGAAGTGAGTGAGGTGACATATGGTCGGGGCCTGAGAATTAATTATGTCTTATTAGTTATATCTATTACTAGAAGGGAATGGTTAAGAATCTCTGACTCACCAGTTTCAAGTGCTTGTTAATGGCAGAAGGTAGGTTCTATTAGGGAGAGGGGGTGGAAATTAAAGGCAAAAGAGCTTGGGTAAGAGTTTAGGCTGAGAGAAAGGAGAAAGCAACAGAAATGTAGGAGTTGAAAGGTGGGAGGATGAGGAGATGAGCAACAGTCACTATCCAGGATAAATTGGAAAGGAACATTTGAGGCTGATCATCATGGAGGTACTTGGTGGCAAATGGATGGAAATTCTGAAAATCATGTTAAGTGAAATAAGACAGACTCAGAAAATCAAAAGCTGAACATTTTCTCTCATGTGTGGAAGGTAGAGGAAAATAAGGGAAAGAAGTGGCAGGAAAGGAGATTGAATATCAAAAAGATATAAGATCAGTAGAGTAGAAGAAGGAGAACAGGAGGGAGGAAAGAAGAGAAAGGGGTAGAAACATGGAATGAAATAAATAATATCTTGGTTCACACACATATAAATGCACCAAAATAAGTTTACACACACACACACACACACACACACACAAATATAAAATACCAATCAAAAATAAAGGAATAAAAGGAAGATCAAGGGCTGGGGATGTGGCTCAGGCGGTAGCGCGCTCGCCTGGCATGTGTGCGGCCTGGGTTCGATCCTCAGCACCACATACCAACAAAGATGTTGTGTCCGCCAAAAACTAAATAATAAATATTAAAAAATTCTCTCTCTCTCTCTCTCTCACTCTCTAAAAAAAAAAGGAAGATCAATAGAAGGATCAATAGAAAGAAGAGAGAACAGGGGGCATGAGGAAGGAAGATAAAGCGGAGGGGAATAGGGATTGAAATCATATTCCTCACATGCATTATTTTGACAAAATGAACCCAAATACTATGTATTATTATATTGTCTAAAAATTTTTAAAAATAAAAGAACATGAAAAATCTCTAGATTTATAGTAAATGTTTACTATATCATATCAATTCATTAAACAAACATTTATGAAACTGCAGTATGCGCTAGGCACTTTAGTGAATAAAATCGGCAAAATCTGTACTGACATAGAATTTACTGGGGATAAAGAAAAGGAAAGGATCAACAAATATTTCAAGTCTTTAAGTCTTAAAGAATGGTAGGGTGCTACGAAGAGAAGGGTGATGTTTGAAAGTAGGATCTTTCTAGAGAAGGGTAAGGAGTTCAGACTTTAGGCATTTGAGGAGTCAGCAACCTTATATTGCCTCTGTTAATATCACTTTTGAATGTAGATAGCATAGTTGCAAACAAACATATCCATTTTAGCCATCTTGATATAAAAAAATCTAGAAAAGCAACAACCTGTGGCATGTTGTCTAAAACCTCTAGTAGCATATATGCTCCCTGGGGTAGAAATAATTTTTTTTTTGCAGCACTATTTGCCTTCGGCAACTGTTTGCATATAACAAATGAATTTAATTAAAATGAATTGAGAGCTTTTTGATTCCTATGCTTTCCAGGTAACATTTTCATTAACTCAAGTAATATTTATGCAAGTACCTTAGAAGTTATAAAATAAATTACTCTGTGGGAGAAAACATTTTGAGCTATTGACCTGAAATTCCTGGATTTCACCTTTCTCAAGACCTAATTCAAGCAGCTCATCCTATGTTCACGCTGCCTGAAAGAATGCAATTCTGTAAGCCAACGTTCAGCTGGTCCTCACTAGTATGGCCACACTGGTTGTTTATGGCTGGGAATTGTTCTTATTGGTTGTTGTACCTGGTCTTGTGTCATGTTGGCTATTAGATATTTAGATTATCAATCATCATTGTGGCAGGAAAGTAGAGAGAACCTGAAGTCTTATGGACCTGTTTCTAATTTCTTGAGCTCTGATTTGGAAAGAAGGAAAAAGAAAGAGGATTAGAGTGTAGGGAAAGCACCAAAAATGAATAGTGAGCTATGTGAGACTAGAAGAAGAGTCCCTAGCCTAGGAAGAAGAGATGAGAAGGGCAGTGGTATCTGGGGGTCCTGAGCCAAGGAATGCTGTTCTGCTTCCAGAATGCAGACTGAAAAGCGGTAAAGAGGCCTGGAAGAGAATGGCCACGTGGTGTGTCTCGGTAGTTATGTCCATTGGTGGTGTTACAAAGACTCCCTATATTTCTAGTTCCATACAGAAAGTAGCAGACTAACTAGCCTCAGAGAGCAATGTGAACAGGGTAGTGAATAGGCCTCAGCAGCGGGGCCCAGGATTCTTGATCTTGAGCCAGTGATCAAGAATCAGACCTACTTGTGCCCACCCAAACATCCTGGCACTATATGAGACTCTAGAACTGAGACACAACCAACTTTGTGTGGGGAATCACGGGGCAGAGCAAAAATGCCAGGAAGGACTGGGATTAAGTTTCCCATTAGTCCAGGAGGATGGTGACCTGAAATAGAAATTAATTGGTTCTGAAAATAAAGTGATATTTATTGTGCATGTGAATTTAGGGTCATGACTCATGCCTGCAACTTCCTTTGCAATTTATTTATTTATTTTATTATTTTTTTGAGAGAGAGAGAGAGAGAGAGAGAGAATTTTTTAATATTTATTTTTTAGTTCTCGGTGGACACAACATCTTTGTTTGTATGTCGTGCTGAGGATCGAACCTGGGCCGCACACATGCCAGGCGAGCGCGCTACCGCTTGAGCTACATCCCCAGCCCTTCCTTTGCAATTTATAGCTGGGACTTTATTTGCTTCTTAGTTGAACTTAGATAGTATTTTTCCAAGAGGAAATTTAGACAAGTAGAAATAACCACTAGGAGACAGTTTGGGTCACTTTCATAATAATCCTTTAAGTAATAATACATATCTTGTTGGTATGCTTAAACATAGCACAAGTAGTAATGGACAATCTAGAGTTAGAGAAGTTCAATCCACTAAAGAAGGAAACTCTGAGAATTAGAAATTTACTGCAAGCAATACAGTGGCCAGTGACCTAATTAACTTCTGATTTGTAGCATGAAATCTTTCCTCATATTTCCATCTATCTGTCTCTTCTTGCACCATTTCCTTCCACACCCACATATTGCCCTATCCTGAGTATAAAAGTATGATTAAAACAACTGCAATTTCACAGATGGCTCTAATTTAGAATATGATTTACTTCTGTCGGAATCCAAGTTTATGTGGCTTCTGAGGATGCCCATCAAAGAATCAAATTTTATTTTGGAGATCGATATGCAAAAAACTTGGAAAGGTGTGGAAACTCACTCTTGAACGTCCCTGGACACGATCCAGAGGCTGACTGAGGGAAGGGCTGAATCTTCGTGTTTAGGGGATTATTGCAGTTTGGCAATGAGAAGTTGGGGAAATTGGCTTCAGGAAGAGGAAGAACTTCATTTATGTTTAGTGGAGGGAGTCGAACAATGGATCCAATTTGTCTCGGATGGAAAGGAAAGTGTCCTTTACCTGGGCCTCTTTTTCCTGGGTGCCTATGTGGTGGGCCATGGCCACGGTGATGGTGATCTGGGGGACCTTGGCCAAGGGAAGGTGGATCACAGGGTCCATAGTCATCGAAATCATGGCCACGGGGACCATGGCCATGGGGATCGTGTCCATGGGGTCCATGTCCATGAGGACCATGTCCATGAGGCCCATGTCTATGGGGTCCCTGTCCATGAGAACCGTTTCCATGAGGACCATGTCCATGGGGTCCATGTCCATGAGGACCGTGTCCATGGGGATCATGTTTATGGGGCCCGTGGCCATGGGGACTGTGTTCATGGGAATGGGGTCCATGGTGATGCTGATCACTGGAACTATGATTATGAGGGTGTCTTTGGGTCTCATTGGTGCCAAAAGGAGGGTGATGACATCTTGATCCTGGAGGTGGCAAAAATGGTGGAAAATCTCCTTCTTGAAGTGGTGGTCTGTCAGAGTTATCTTTTCCTTCTGGGGGAGGTCGGAATCCAAACTTATGTGGCTTCTGAGGATGATGATGTGAATGTCCATGCCCATCAAAGTGGTGGGGAGGGCCCCAGTGGGGTCTCACATCACTGATGTTTCTATGTTCCTGGTAAAAGAACAGAAAAGTGTGTGTTATCATGTAACGCACAAGGAGAAATTAGATGTTTAGCTTGACTTAGGGCAATGGCTTCCAAACTTTTGGACTTCGCAAATCAATTTAAAAAGTCAGATACTAAAAAAGGGTGTCCAATTTTTATCTAGCCAAATCAACATTTAAGATGCAAACAAAACTGCCCACTAACACCATTATTATTTCACAAAAGGAATGATATCTTGACAAGAGTCAGAAAATAACTATAAAGAATAATTTTTGAATGGAATATATGTTGTATTATGAAAAATTTTTGAATTATACTTAAGCTTTCTTACTTTAACATATATTGGTGAAACTACATTAAGGAATGGCACCCATTTGTAGACCAGCCTTAGGAAAACTAGTGTCTTAAAACTTAGACTCACAACAGAGTTCTGAGGGATGATATAAAATCCTTACTCTTTACTTTCCTCCTCATCCAGACTTTAACTTTCAAAAAAGTCTATGGAGCTGTATAAGAATACAAAGGTAACAAACCTACCTTTTCTTTTTCCTCTTCTTCCTTCTTTTTTTTTAATTTTTATTTTTTTTGCTAATATAAAAATTACTGTGAAGAACATCTTTGTGCTCACTCATAAAAGCATAAAGATTTCTGGGATGGTTATAAAATATCATTTTGAATCTTATTTTATATACCTTTACACGATAAGCTTGAGGCCAAATAATTCCTCTTAGGTTCAACGTCTAACAATAAAAGCCAAGAATTATGAAGTCTCAGCACTGGAAGTTGTAACTATAAGGACCATTTTTATATTCATTTAAGGTTGACTGAATTGGTCATTGTACTTTTCTGCCAAATCTTGCCCCTCCCCAATTCTTGAGAAAAAATTTATACTTTTTTTGGTGTCATGCCAAAAATTTTACTCCTTTTCCCAGAAGCCTATTCTATTCTCTCCAAATCAATCTCTTTCTCTCTTTCTCTCTCTCTCTCTCTCTCTCTCTCTCTCTCTCTCTCTCTCTCTCTCACACACACACACACACACACACACACACACACACACAACTCTAAGAACCAAATACACTGTGTGTGTGAAAATATTTAGTCTGGCACTGTTCATAACAAAGTGTACTCTGACAACCTACCTCAAAGTTAAAGACTTCACAAGTTACTTCAAGGTATTCTGGGGCTTCCAAGTCAGAGGCTCCTATATCATAGGACAAATCTGCTCTGCAGAATCCAAAAACCTACAAAAGAGAAAGAAGTCTGTAGTGGGTGTGTGTGTTATCAAGGGGTATGAGGGTTCCCACCCAGACTTATGAACTGAGAAGGAAGAAGAGCTTTAGAAAAATCAGGTAGTAATATTATCAGACATCTCCACCAGTTACTTAGCAATCTTTCCTAGTCAACCATTGGGGAAGGTACAGGTTACAAAGGATTTCATTGCCACTTCTCTCCTGTGAGCGGTCACAAACACTGGGGGCTTCCCCATGTGTGTGGCGATTGCTCATGTCATTACTGCTTTTCCTTTAGGCCAACACTTCTGCCCTGAAGATCTGAGTTGTCAGTGCCTAGAGAAAATGAGGAATGGTTTAGAAGATAAATTTGTATGACTTTAACTGGTCCCTTGAAAGCGTGAGAAAGGAGGGAGCCAGTATAAAGACAGGTTTGCAAGGACCCTGTCAAGGTAAAGAGTCTGCTGGCCCCATCCTAAGTATGAGGGCTGAACTGACTAGCCCGATGCTCCAAAGTCCCCTAAGTTCAGCCGTCAAAGCTAGACAAAGACAAGTTGACAATTCTTCTCTAGAAAACAAACAAACAAACAAACAAACAAAAACCAAGCTATTAAGTATTGAGGCTCTGAGTATGGTTTTGGAGAGAGGTCTGTGCTAATCCTGGCTTCACCATTTTCTACTTGTGTGAGTCACAGGTTATACACATTTTCTGAAACTCAGACTATAAACAAGTACAATGCTATCTACTCACATGGTGAGAGGATTTAGAAAATCAGGGTAATATTATCACCAATTTCTAATCACCAACTCTCTTGGTTCTGCACTGGTCTTTTATTACCCACACAATGATAGCTGAGTTTCTTGGATAGAGGAGGGAAGCATTTTTTTTCTGGTAGCCACCGAGCAGGAATCTAAAATTAATTCAGGTTAAAATTTTGAGCAGTCAGAAAAGGAAATAACAAATGCCTCCTCCCTTCAGCCAGAGAGAGAATGTGTTACTAAACCTCAGCAAAATCCTGGACTTGAAATTAGAATTCAAGTCTTGTGTGCACTTTCTAGCCAAGTGCCTTAGGTAAGTGATTGAAATTCTAGGCCCACTTGCCACAAAGAAATGGAGGCAGGCATTTGCTTCCCCTCAGTAGGTTATCACAAAGTTCCCACAATACAATCATATATGCAGGGGTGTTTTATAAACTGTGAGTCACCAAGCAAATGTCAGGAATCATTAATAAGATTCTCTAGTAGAAATACAGATTAATTTGTAAATAATTAGGAAAAAAATCCCACTGGACTGGGCATGAGAAGAACTGGATTATAGTCTCAGCTGGGTTGTGAACATTGGCAAGACCCTTCCTTTGTCGAACCTGTTACCTCCTTACTTGTCAAATGCAATCCCTGTGGGTGTCGATGCATTGGAATGAGTGAGAGCACATCGTAGGGGGGTCTTAATATAAGCTGGTTATTAGTTTCAGTTAAACTTTTAATTCTAACATGTTAAAAACCTGTTTTAGGTTTAGTTATATATCATGTATATTATAAAGGCATTTTCTCATGATTTGTTAACTTTTTCCATGCTTCCATTTCCCCATCTGCAAATCACGGACAAAGAGTTTCTACCCCATCTGCAAATCACGGACAAAGAGTTTCTACCCCATAGGGTGGTGAGTTAATAAGTTAATGTATAAAGCACTTAGAAGAGTGCCTGTCAGGGAGCAAGAACTCTCTAGATGACACTTAGTATTTCACAGACATTTGTTATACTCACTCACTTTAGGGGGTCTGGGGAAATGTTGTGTGGAGCAGTTCCTCACAGAGAAGTCCAGATAGTATTTGGTTCTTTCCCCTCCTCTCTAGAACAGATAGGAGCAACATAGTTTCAGGAACAGAAAAAGTAGAAAAAGAGAACAGTAACTATCCAATGTATTGTAAAACACTAGAATGCTTAAATCACCAATAAATGATATTTTTCTTATGGTTTTTGCCTTTTAAAAATGTATCACATAAGTTGGGCAAAGTGGTGCATGCTTGTAATCCCAGTTGCTCAGAAGACTAAGGCAGGAGGATCACAAGTTTAAGGCCAGCCTGGACCACTTAGTGAAGCCCCATCTCAAAATAAAATAAAATTAATGTAACTAATTACATTAGTTATTGTAATTTTATTTTACTGGGATGTAACTCAGTGGTTTTGCCTACACTCACCAGGCTCTGGGTTTCATCCATAGCACAGGGAGGAAAAAGTATCATGTAAGTGATAGGGTGAACACCATTTCACTTTAAGGGTTCAAATATGCAGACATGATAAGCATAGTGTGAAAAATCACTCTTGCTGCACCCTAGCCTCTCCTTCTCAGAGTGAGCACCACGGTCCACTTGATATATTTCTCCTTCTAGCCTTTTGCCACATATCCATGGCGACCTAAGTATTTAACTTCAGTGGGTTCATGTGCTGAGTATTGCTCTGTAAACTGCTTGTCTTATTAATATGTCTTGAACTCTTTCCAGTGCCTCTGGGTCCAACACATTATTTTTGGAAATTGTATTAAATGCATTCCATTKTTGGTATGTACCGTGATCCATTTAGTTTTGCATTTTTGAAATATACATCGAATATCAACCAGCTGCTCCTCAAGACAACTCTGGGTGGAAGGCACTTGAGTCCTTGGACTGTGAGGCAGGTAATTATCTAGTTCTCTAGACACACCAAATGTCGTGAGACTATTTCTCACAGCCTCATAATATAACCATATAAGCACAGATCAAAGATTTTGTTTCCAAAAACTGAGAGGTTTACATACCTAGATATCTTAGTGCTTTTTCCTTCAAAAATGTTTGGGATAGGGTCATAATCCATTTAAACAGTTTCTACATAATATAAGAAGATTAAAATTCAATGATTGAATGATTCACTTAACCCTAATATGCTCTTGTCCTTCCCTCTTTCCTTTTTAGATTTTCTCTTCTCTCTTTCAGATGTCTACCCTCCCCTTCTGCCTCTCGAAAAAAATAAAACCCTTGCAGAAGAGCAGTTCTTTGTGATAGCCAAAAGGCTGCCACAGTTTCAAAGGCAGCTGGTCACTTGGGGCAAGTGGAGAGGGTTGTCAACAGTTCTTGCCTGCCAGGTTGGTGCCTGGGTCCTCACACTCTAGCTAGACATTAGTGGTGACTCACCCCTCTCGCGACTCTCTCTACTCGCTCCACTCTGAAAGAGGCAAAATCACTGTTCTCGCTTTTGTACTTGTCAAGGGCTTTGTCAGCTTGTTTTCTGTATTGCTCCGTGTCCTCAAAGAAATCCAGGATTACAGGACTGTCTTTGTTATTGCTCAGTGCTGAAAACACTAGAGAAAGAAGACGGCAATATTGTAATTACAAGTGGGAAATAGGATGTCAATGTTTAGACTCCATGCGATACATAAATTCATGGTGGTAAGAGTAACAGGAACTTGCATCTAAAACATGGGCAAATCCAGGGTTGGAGAAACTAAGTAGCTTGTTGATCAATCAGCCAGTCAGCAGCTGAGCTAAACCATTAGTCTTTCTTTCCATTTGTTCTAACACTCAGGTCCCTATTGTGACCACTGTTCTGATGCCCTGCCATTCATAAAATGCAAATATTTTAATAAATTCTTCCTGTCTTTGCCAAGGAGGAAAGAGGCCTCCTTAACATAAAGTTTGGTCCAGAGAGAGAAGATACAGCTCAATCCTTCTTTAAGGCAACCTCCTGTAGAAGTTGCTCCACTGTGGCCTATATTAAACCAGGTTGAGATTTAGCATTTTTCAAGGCATTCTGTGATAATTCTTTTTGAAAAAGCAAATATAAAGAGCATGGACTTTAGAGTCACCATGGTTGTTGATACAGTCATGCCTTCATCACATCTTGACCATGTGCCCAAGGCCATGTCATTGAACCTCTGCCTAAATTATTTTATCTCTAAAATAGAAAGCAACACAATCTTTATTTCATAGCCTTGGGTGAGGGTGAATGAAATTATTTATAAACAATCACTTTGTAAACTATAGAGTAATATATAATTTTAAAATATGAAGCCAATACTTATGAGTGGTAAATGTTCCACAAAGCATATTATATAGACCATTTTATTTGATTCTAACAAGAATCCTAACAGATACTACTACTATTATCTCTATTTTTAAATGAGAAAAATCTTGGGTTAAATAACTTGGCCTCAAAAACCACAGAATTAGTAAATGATGAGGTTGGGATTCTAACACAAGCAAGTTTGACCCCAGAGCCTATGTCTACACAATGTTGCTATATGGCACTTTGGAAAGCTCTATTTTCTTGTATTGATTTTTTTTTTTTAAAGGAAGATGTATCAGTAACAGGGGAAAACTGTCCTCCTTCTATTCTCAGGAGAGTAATAATGAAGACCATGAGAACAGGGATCCTTTCTGATGTACATCATGGTATTAATATGATAAATACCACTCTATGACTGAGTTCTGTATTAATCAGAAATTTATTTAGCAATTTAACAGATTAACATACCAGAACTGGTGGTGCAGTTAAAGTCATTCATTCGGAGGTCCTGAGATTCTTTTGAATATCTTGTAACTATTACCTTACATTGCCCGATCACCTGTAAAAAGAAAAGAGAGTTTTGGGCTAGGATTGAGGATCAGTGGTAGAGTGCTCACCTAGCGTGCATGAGGCACTGGGTTCAATCTTTAAAAGCACCACATAAAAATAAAATAAAGATACTGTGTCCACCTAAATCTAAAAAATAAATATTGAAAAAAAAGTGGCTTTTGACTCATTGCATACCACCGTCCTTTATGAGGGAACATGAAGGGAATGCCACACACTCCTGCTATCCATTTAAACTGTATTTGTACACACACAAAAGCCCTGGCTTCCATCCTCAGCACCACACACAGAGAAAATTGTATTTGGGGTTTTCTTCATCAAACCCTGTCTCAAACCCTGCATTTTCTTACCTTGCTCCTGTGTGCTGCATACTATCAGAACCCAAAACCCTTAGGAAAATGAAGGAGAAACTCTTTAAATGGATTATGACCCTATCTCAAACATTTATGAAGGAAAAAGCACTAAGATACCTTGGTGCGTAAGCCTCTTATTTATTTATTTATTTTTTGGGAAACGAAATCTTTTATCTGTGCTTATTCATCTTTGTGTTTTACACCTGTGACAGAGATTCTGGCATATCAGTACCCACCTCCAACGTGCACAGCAAGACCCCCTTCCTCATTGCAACTAAGCCCTTTTGCCATTCCTGATAATGAGACCAATTTTGATAGGATACACTTACAAATTCATAGCTTCATTGACCATAGATTATGAGGCTTGGAAAGGATTTTGAGTCTATCTATTTCAAGACTCTCCTCTTATTTTACAATTGAAGAGACTGAAGTCTAGGAATATTACGTGATTTTTCCTAGGGACTCACAGCTGATCACACTATCCCAAGGAATCACAAGCCTTGTTGACTTATCTTGCCCTGAGTTCCCATGAAGGGCTCTCTACAGGGTGTCACTCAAGGTAAACATAATCTTCATGAGTCTCAAGGCATAAGCTGCTCTTACTCTTTTCCAGGTTAGACCAGACGTATGGTTTCCCTGTGTAAGCTGATAGAAGGTAAGTAGGATAAGAGGAGAATGGTACCCTGTATACTTACTATATCAGACGGCCGTCTAAAATGAGCTGGTATGCAGTCCTCCTGGTTCCTGGACAGGACCCAACAGTCAGATTCTTTTACATCCAAGACTAAATAATAGACAGTCGCAGATCCCTGAAGAATGCCAAGAAAGCAAAAGGTGAGTAGGATGAGGGAGCTCAGGAGGTTTTTAAAATAAAAACAATCTCTTTATTTCTTAAACAGAATTCCTGCTTATCTCAGAGTCTTTGCAGATGTCCTACCTCTATGTCATTTGATCTATTTATTTGGATAAATGGCTTCAAATAGTTATTTCCAAATGCTCTTTTTAACTCATTGTAAGGTTTCTTATGCCCCCAAATTTTAAAAAGTCGTCACTGAAGGGCAGTGTTGGGTAGGTGGAGGTGTTGACAATACAAGCCTCGAATGGTAAGTGGAGATCGCCATATCACCATGTGCAGTCTGCTGTGGTGGTGGTGTTCTCTCACCCAGCTCTCTTCCTGAATCTGGACCTCTGATCTTGATTTCAACTTAAATTCTCTTCTCTTACAGATCTGCTTCCTCTCTCAACTTCCCTCTTCTTTGTCAGAAGCTATTAATTACTTACTGCTTTAGGCTCTAGTTTAGAAAATGTGTATAGGCTTTGCTTTACCTTGGCCACACAGAAATCAAGCCATCAATGGTCTTTCTTTGAAACGTTCTCATGGGTTTTTTTAATTCTCTTGCTGAATTCCAACTACCTGGGTCTGACCATCATTTCTTCGTTCCTGAACACATGAAATAGCTTCCTACTTCACTTTCCTGTCACCTTCTTACATCTCTCCAGGCACATTGTGTTCTCCTGTTCACCCCACTGCCACAAACCCATACTGCCACTCAGAGGTAGCACCATGCCCATTCATTCTGTGCCCTACACATGTGGCAAAGACCCTGAAATGGAACTGATGATCATTAAATTACTTGCTGATCATGAATTGCTTGTTGTTGATGATCATTACATTGCTAAACTCCTGGATTTCTATTCTCTGCATTCTTCAGTACTTTCCTAACACCTTAAAAAGGGTATATTACTCTGCTCACCCTCTGTAGTAGTCCATAGTGACCTCTCTGATTTCAGTCACTCCACCAAAGAGAAGGTAGGTTATTATATTTTGCAAGGAGACTTCATTGGCCTTCCATAATCTCTATCAGCCCATCAAATCTACTTCAAATCATCATATAATCTAAGTGAAGTCTTGTTTAAATGTCTTCAAGACAAGCTCAGTCTCTTTTCCAACTTCACATTGAATTCTGGCCTCTCCAGAGCCCGAGGAGAACTTCTGGATCACACCCCTTGCCCTGCCCGGCCCATTCAATTACTCCCTAGGGCCTCCTTCTTTGATTCCCTGTCTACCTTGATGTACCTGGAATTCTCTTGAAATGCCTTTCTCCAGGCCTCTTCCTATTCACATCCTACCCATTCTTCAGATTCAACTGAAGTCTTCTCGCACCCAATCTTAATAGCTCTCCTTTCACTGAAAGTGCTCCAAATCAGCACTTGATCACTAAATACATCCTTTGTTACCCAGTTTACCTTTGTGCATCAGAAGATTGTTCTTTCCTCAAGGGCAAAGCCTGCCAGTTAATTCTGATTTTTCTCTTGAAGCCATTTGCATAGTGCTTCTAAGTGCTTACAGATTGATCCCTAGTTAATCTATTCCAATAACAAACGTGGAGTTGGAAGGAAAAATAAACAATCTAGAGCAGCCACAGAAACTAAACAGAAGACCCTGACTGAAGCCATTTGTTGTGCTGAGGAGCTAGTCTCATTTGCCCTGGGGCATGGTCTCCCAGCTCAGCTCTGACATGGGCGATTTCTCACCACTGTGTCCAAGTGGGCATCAGCGACCCGCAGCAACTGGAAAAGATAGCCATTCCGTCGCCATTTATTGATAAGGTCTACAGCTTTCTCAGCCTCAGGCTCGACAGCATTGCAGTCGGTGGGACTCACAGCACATGAACATTGCAGTGAGATCAAAAGTAGTAGGGCAGTGAGCACCTTCATTTTGCTACACTCCCCCTGCTGTGGTCTACCATAGCAGAGAATTTATACACACACACACAATTGATGAAACTTTATACATTTTTGTTGTGCAACTAGGAATGTTCACCTTGACCCCTGGTTCAAATATCTGTCAACAATCTGTAAATGATTAGTGGATCCTGGGGACAGAAAGCTTAGACATGCCACTGGTGATCCGGTAAAACCATTATCTACACAAATCTGGATTTTTAAAAATTGTACATAATTACAGCACAACTTTTCATTTCTCTATACACGATGTAGTATAGCACCATATGTGCAGTCATACATGTACTAGGGCAATAATGCCCACTCATTCCACCTTCATTCCTGCCCCCCTGTCTCCTCCCCTTCCCAAATCTGGATATTTTTAGTAGGTTGCAGATCCAAAGTCTATTTTTGACCTTAAGCATTGCCAATGTGTATACCCAGTGGTGAGGTTTGTGCTAAGGTAATTTTCCTCCATCAGCCTATCAGTCTCAGCCAGAAATCTCCACCATCAGCCCCTCTTTGAATTATGGCAGCACTAAAACTCAGTAGAATGCAATCAGTAGATTTTTTTTTTAGTTGTCAGTGGGTCTTTAATTAAATAATTCACTAATTTATATCCAGGGCTGAGAATGGAACCCAGTGCCTCCCACATGCTAAGCAAGTGCTCTACCGCTAGAATTCTTTAAAAAGAATCCTTGGTAACATGTTTAGTAGTTAACATTATACAAGGAATTGACTTCAGGTAGAATAGCATGATTAATGGACAGTGGCCTTGGAGTCAGATGTAAATTTCTAATCCTAGCTCTGTCACTTTCTTATTGTGTGATCCTGTGTTAATTCCCAAACTCCTCTGATTTTTAGTTTTCTTCCCTTATAAAATGAGGATTAATACTTCTTTGTAGGCTTAAATAAAGTTAAATAAGAAAGCATGTATAAAGCAACTAATACAAGTCTTGGCACAGACTAGGTGCTGAATAAATGATGCTATTTGTTATTATTAATGCTGTTTATTAGGGTACCTGGGAAGAAGTGGGGAGCATTCCCATATCATTCCAATTCTCTGTGGCTCTTAAAGCATGCCAAACAGAACTGGTTCATGTGCAAGAGGAGAGGGATGAGAACAGGAGTCAAGCAATTGAATACCTGTCCCCTGTCGGGAGGGCTCAGCATTGGAAGACAGGGCTGGGATACACCTGACCCCCTGCCACTAACCCTCCAAAGAAACCTATATACCTATGTGGAACCTTCATACCTGCAGAGGGCAGCAGCTTCTGAAAAGACTAACGGGAATCAACTTCACTTCCCTCCCTACTACCAACGAACAATCAGAAGACAGCATYTCCCTTCCTCCTTGTACTTTCTCTACAGTAAGGTTCTACAGCAATAGTTCTGAATCTTGATTTCATATTAGAAATTCCCAAGGAGTTTAAAAAGAATCCTGGGATCCAGGACCCTTCAAAACAATTCAATCAGAATGGATCTGGGTTTGGATAGTTTTTAGATTCCCAAGTAATTCCAATGTGCAGTCAAAATTGAGAATAATTGAGCATCCAGATAGAACTGAATCAAGTGAAAGAATTAGAAGAAAGAAAAGGGAAGAGTTATATGAAAAATAGACTTCACTTCCAAGGGTCACAGGTTGGTTTAGTGAGTGTTAAAGTGGAAGAAACATGTATAAGATAATGTTCGAGACTGAACTTTTAGTGTGAACAACAACTGGCTTTTAAACAACTGAATGGGACCACTATAGTATAACTCAGAAGGATATAAATAGTATGGAATCTGCTGTAGGTATCCTTAAGGGCTCCAACCCAGTGGGGCAGGGGGAAATTATTGATTAAAACAAAAACAATTTTATATTCTAATGAGTTGAGCTCCTTAATCAAGTCTTTCACCCAATATGGAGTGCCTGGGCAAATCAGATGCTGGAGTAAATTAAGGGATGGGAATGCTGGGACTGGGAAAAAGGAAGGACAGTTTATGCTTTCCCTACAGTACTGTTTTGCTGAGATTTGGGGGTACTTGCAGGACCCAGGCATTCCCTTCCCCTGGCTTTAATGAATATTTAAGACATACAGTGCTAACGATGCCTTTCCAGTAACCAGGGAAGCTTCAGGTTGAGGTGTCTCAGGGAGCACATTAAAGGTAAGTGGGATAGTATGGTCAAGAGGAAGCAAAAACAATGGTGAGTAGGAGAGATGTTCAGTTCTGAGAACTGTCAAATGCTCTAGGCATTGACATTGGCTTTGGAAAAGCTTCCCAGATGGTCTAGAACCAGGGAATGGCCTTAGATGTGATAGAGGAAGAGGAGTGGTGGTGACTTCATAGTATGGCTTTTGGGGCCAGACTGAAGTAGACAGATCTTCACCTCCATAGTCTTGTTCTGACATTCAGTTACTTTCTAGGTGTTTTTACCATGTTTTCAGGAAAAGTCAGCTAACAGAACTTTCATTCTTTTAAGATATTTTTGATCATAATAGAATACATATTCTTTGTAAAAAAAAAGTATGGAAACTACAAAAAGTATAAAGAAAATTCATCTCAAATTCCACTACCCATGAGAAAAATCAACTATAACATAATTTCTTTATAGAATGTTTTCTATTTGGATATATACAACACAGATTTTTTTATGTTGTTGGAATTATTCTGTACATACAGATTTTTTCCTTCACTGTTGTTGAGTATTTATTCACTGATAACTTATTTTTTCAGGTTACTATATAACATTTTAAAGTATTGTTTCGGGTATTTTATAGGATTTTAAATTTAAAAATTGGGTTATTCTAATCATATAATTTTAAATTTTAAACAAAAACCTCACATAAAATAAAAGAAACAATATTATTAAATAAAATTAAGTTTCTCTCCCTTTCATTTCATACAATCCCTTCCCTAGGGAAGGACTTTAAACAATTTCCTGTAATATGTAGCTTAAATATTGTCTTTTCCTTTAAGGTTACACTGTGAGGACTTGTCAAGATCATTAAATATTCTTCAGGAAAATTATTTTCAGAGATCATGGTATATTGCAAGTTATATAAATATTAATATACTCAACATTCCTCATTTTGGGTCATTTATGTTGTTTCTATTTATTTGTTTTTATAAATAGTGCTAGGGTAAATATCCTTGTATATCTCTGATTATTTCTTTGAGAATCACTGGATCAGTTAATATAATTTTTTACATTCAGGGTTTTTATTTTTATTTTTTTTGGTAATAAGAATCACTTCTTTTAAGAAAAAAAAGAAGTCAATTTTGGTCAGACGTTTAATGTATTATTTTGTTACTTTATTTTCAAAAAATAGACATTATTTTTTAAAGCAGGTTCAGGTTTGCAGCAAAACTAAGTGGAAAGTACAGCGAGTTCCTAAGTACTCTTTACTTTTGTCCCATGCTCACAAACTCCCTCGCCCCATGATAAACATCTGAACCCAGACGGTCACATTTGTTCCCTCCAAAGAACTTACAATGACACATCATTTTCACTGAAAGTCCATAGTTTGCCTTAGGGTTTCCTCTTCACTCAGTAGGGTACCTAGCATGGGTTTTGACAAATGTGTAATGTTTGTATCCACCGTTATATTATCACACAGAATAATTTATCTGCCTTAAAAATCCTCTGTGCTCCATTATTAATTTATCTCTCTCTCCTCTCTCTCCTCTAGCCTCTGGCAACTACTGATATTTTTCACTGTCATCATTATTCTGTCTTTTCCAGAGTGTCCTATAGTTGGAATCAAACAGTTGGCAGTCTTTTCCGATTGATTTCTTTCACTTAGTAATAAGCACTTAAATTTCCTCTGTGTCTTTTCATTACCTGATTGTTCATATTTTTTAGTGACAAGTAATATTCCATTGTCTAGATGTACCACATTGTAGTTATTTATTCTCCTACTAAAGGTCATTTTGGTCTTGTAAGGGGAGGTCAAAAGGGAAGCTGCTGAGCCCGTTTCGTGTACCTCTTGCACTTAGGGGAGTATCTTTACTCATGGAGAGCTTTAGTACAGGTTGCTGAGCACACAGATACACTGAAAGGATAAACCTCGGTCCATGGCATAAGATCACATTTTGGAAAAGGATGCAGCCCACCATGTAGTACCGTGTCCAGAGGCCAAGGCAGCCCAAGTGGGGGAGTCTCATTATTTCCATTTCCAGCCAATAATTGAGACCAAGAATAATGGAAGCCACACTTTATTAGCTATTTTCTACATCTGAACCCGTTCTTTCTCCATCCTGTCCCACCACCTCTCATCTCACACAGGGTACTATATCCCCAAGGAAACTTCTCTGTGATTCTCAGGGTGGGAGGAGAAGAGGGCTATTATTTTGGGCAGGTCCTGGGCACTCACCAGAGTGCTGCTTTTCTTTGGGGAAAGGAAGGACAACCAGCTTCTTCTCCTCGGGTTCTAGGAAGAGGAAGGACACATCCAGCGTGTCTCCCTGGGGATTGGTGGTTAGATCCAGCTGCACTGGGAAGGCCTCCTGAAGGCCTGTGCTCTGGGGATCTTCAGGCTTCTCATCAACCAGGTCAGGAAGGTACTGGATGGAGGTGGGTGCAGTTTTGTAGGAAGCCTCGGAGGAGACTGCATTTCTTTTTGGGGGCTCTTCTACGTTGTCGCCTCCAGGGGACTGAACCTGAAATAACAATGTTTTAAATGTAGAATTCCATAAGCCACATCTGGTGGCAGGCTAAGCTGGTCTATACCTTTCAGGAAGAAGATTTTAAAAGGAGACCAGCTAGAGGGATGGGTCTCCTGGTGAAGGGGTTAAAAAAGAAAAACAGAAAGGGGCCAGGGGAACCAGGGTCTGTAGAGGACTGACTGCAAGTCTCCTGATTTCAGAGCTGAACAACTGTCCAGAGAGGCTAAAAGCCCCTGGTGAGTGCTCTCTCTGTTCCTCGTAGGGGCAGCTGCAGGCACCTTCTACTGTATATTCTGTGCCAGGCCCTACACAATGCCCTTTGTCCAGTCCTCTCACTTGTCCCTCTGGGATCTGAATGAGGTTGCTGTGGCAGTCCCACTCTATAGATGAGGAAGCAAGAATCAGGCCACACAGCTCATGAATGCAGACCAGGACCAGCACGGGTGGCTTGTCGCAACTCAACCAGGCTGCCTCTCACTCTTAGAGCTCAATAAAYATTGTTGGAGGGGGATGGGATGTTTTCATGGATGACTTCTCCCTGAATTTGGGAATAAGGTCTCTCAGGGAAACTGAGTTTAATGCTTCAGAGGCTCAAGCCTTCTGAGCTGGTAGTGCCCTGTTTCTGASTGTGTCTTCCTAATTCTGCAGGAACATAAATGTGACTAAAACGAAATGTGACAGGTCTCTGATGAGCTACCACATGGGTGTGGCCTCAGGGTCGCCTTAGTGAAGTGGTAATCAGGGATCTTGGGGAAAATCAAAGGGGATGGGGTGGTGGCTACTAAACGTAAATAAGCAGCTCTTCACAAAAAGATAATTAGGACGAAAAATACCTGCGGTGGGAATAAATCACAAGTCACAGAGACATATTTTTCTGATGCTCTTTGAGCCAGAGAACCTTCGCAAAGACCAACGGGCTGAAAGAAAGAGAACACAAAACTATGTTAAGTATTAAGATTACTGATGATCATAAATGGAAATCAATTTATTTTTGGCTTTTGAAGACACACAGCCAATCAATATTTTATGCTCTTACCATAAAATGGCAGATTTTTGAGCCAATTATGTCACCCCTAGAAATTATATAAACTAGGTTAAATTGCTTCCAAAACTCAGTTTTTAGTATTCAGTATTTAGTATTCCTCGATGAACAGATCTCTGATTATTAGATTTTTTTTTTTGTATTGAGCAGAAAGTTGTGGCTATACAATTTTATGTCTTGGTCTTAGTTCTATATAAAGCTTGTTTTTATCTTTTAAATAAAATCTGCTTCATCTTTCATACAGCAGCCCTTTATGTATGTCCCACTTGAATTTCCTCTTTTCAGACAAAACCATTCTCAGTTTCCTTCAACCTCTGTTTATAGCAAACTAAAATAACTTTGTTTTCTTACCACAAATGTAATAAATAGTTATTTAGAATACAGACAAAAGAAAATAAACTGGGTGTAGTGGCATGCCTGTAATCCCAGCAAYCTGGGAGGTTGAGGCAGAAGGATCACAAGTTCTGGGCCAGGCTTAGTAGCTAAATGAGGCCCTACGAAACTTAGTGTGACCCTTTCCAAAAATTAAAAAATCAAAAGGACTGGGGATGTATCTCAGTGGTAAAGCACCGCTGGCTTCAGTCCCCAGTGCCAAAAAAAAAAAAAAAAAAAAAAAAAAAAAAAAAAAAAAAAAAAGAAAAAAAAAAAAAAATAAAAATTGCCTGCAACAAGTCATTTGATATCTTTTCTTCCAAACTTTTTTCATATTATATATATTATTTCCACAAAACTAGTATTATATTATACATATTATTTTATAGCTATTTTGTCACTGAACAGTATATTATGAAAATCCCTTTATGGTGTTAGATATTCTTCTGTGATTATCTTTATAATGGCTATCTAATATTCCTCTGTATTATCTTAGCAAGCTTTTTTGTATGACAACCACATTGAATGCAACTTTTTTGTTTAAGTATCCAGCTCTATCTTTTCACATATCTCTAGTTAGTTCCTTAGAGCAAATTTCTAGAAGAGGAACTGTAGATTCATAGAGTATGTACATTTTCAGGTATAGTAGGATATTATAATAAATTAGCAGTTGCCAGGGGCAGCAATGAGGAATAGCTGTTAAAATGGCTATGGGGTTTCTTTTGGAAGCTAATGAAAATATTCTAATGTAATAAAGTGTTGGTGACACAACTCTGTGAACTCTCTGGAATACTCACTGCAGAATCAGAGGACTGGAGTGTGCAGCTACTGGCCTGGGATTTGGTACAGGGTGACTCTTTGATTAGGTATTCCACAAAGTAAGAAGGCCCAAACACCCACTATAATAAGACAAGGGTTGAGATGTTAAAATTAAACCTTGCTACATAGGAAAAACATTCAGGTTTGCAGCATTACATTTACAGAAAGGATACATATCCAGAGGCATTGCCAACACAYATATCCATTGTCCCTGTAGATCCCCACAGAGATCAAAGCATGTACTATAATTTGAWTATTTAGAAAACATGATCAACATAACTTTCTTTAGGATTAGAATGGGCCCTAAATACTTTCCCTTAGTAAGCTTATTTTTCCTCATATAGGTTTGTCTTTTGTCTTTTTATTTTTCATATGAAAGATATCAACGTGGGCTGGGGATATAGCTCAGTTGGTAGAGTGTTTGCCTCACATGCAGCACAAGGTCCTGGGTTCAATCCCCAGCATCACAAAAATAAATAAATGAAAAAAAATAAATAAATGAAAGATATCAATGTAAGCAAATACAAATGAAACTCCATTTCCCCTAATTTRTAGAACTCAACCTCTACCCTAGGTCTTAGCATGGAGTGCCTGTTGTGTTGTGAAGTAGTCCATGGTCAGTCAGATATGAGGACATAGTAGTAACTAGTAAACCTAGGTAGAACCCCACCAATGAGACTATGAATCCATTTCTCTTCTTGCCTTTTGGTTGATGAAATAAAATCAAGTCACATGACTCATAGAAATGGCATGGKATAGTACAAGCTGAAACATGATTTAATGTATATTGAATCTACCAGGAAAGGGAATGTAGAGGGGCTCTTGGGTTCCAATCAAAAAGAGTGCCTGGATATTCTCCTTTCAGCTTAGAAATCTACAGWGACTGGTATGAGATACACTGTGTAACGGACCTGGGCATTTAAGCCTTACCTGACTTGACCCCCTGGTGATTTTGACGAGAGAATACTGCTTTGAGGTGCTCTCATTGTTGTATTTTGCAAGAGACTCCGTGGCAGCTTCTAGAACTCTGGGATCCGACAAGTCAACGGGAACTGGGCTTGGGCAGTCAGGGCACACATTGTAAATTTTTCTCCGAGAAACTATTGATGTCAATGAGAATAGATTTAAAATATCATGGATTTTCAAGCCTATAATAGTCATATATCATATAAGGTAAAGATTGAATAGATAAGATAAGGCTGGAGTGAAAAATAYATTTTCTGGAAAAGAAATTAGTTGTTGGCATTGAGTTTTCTGTGGTGAACAGTATTATTTTTATAAAGAAATCAAAGCCAAATTGTTTCCACCTCACACAAATTTATCTACTCTAGGAATTGTGCTCAAAGACAACATAGTCCACTATAATTGATAAAAGACAGAGCACCTCAACCAATTTAACATCTTCTCCTTTGCCTCTGTACACCAAATGCCTTTAAAAGTTTGGGCTGTCATTATTGCCATGTTGTATTTATCTTTTAGTCCTTAATACCTAGCATCATATCTTGCACATAGTGCACATGCTTATAGATTCAGTAAGAGACATAGCGGAAGGTGGAAACACACACCCTTTTGGGCTGGAAAATGTAAGTGACCCAGAAAACAAAATTGGTCAAATCACCATGTGACTAATGGTAGAACCACAATTTCTGTTTGGGAGGCGCTGAGGATGACAAATCTATTCTGAAAATCAGGTAGGGAATCTGCCTTGAAATCGTTTTTGCAGAGAAAACACATTATTTTGATTGATTGTTCTGGGGACTGAGGAAGATTATGGGGGAGTTATGTCCAAAGCTTGTCACTCCTGCTTCATCCCCACCTGTCACTTTCTGACTCTCTGAGCCCTGGTACCTGGGACTCCCATAAATGTCCTGAGGCTATTCATTAGTTGTTATTCTCTAAATTATTTTAGGTGAGTCTTGTCTTCACAACCTGGAACCTTAAGCTGTAACTAATAAAACGTTTGTTCTGTTGCCTTGTGACTTAAAGGAACCAATTCTACTGTTATCACCTGGATCGTGTTTGAAATGCAGGATCTCGGGCTCTGACCAGGCCTATGGCATTGGAATCTGTACTTTAACAAGATCCTCAAGGAGAGTCACAGGCACACAGCAGCTTGATAAGGACCCATATCCTATCTTTTCATGCTATGAGGTGCTGGCTTTCCAAGGGCTTTCCCTTGTGAAAAGAGGATACAGAAGCACGCATGTGCATATTTCAAATGTCACCAGTTCCCTTGCTATTATTTTATATGTTCAACAATGTGAGTGACTCCTTCAACTTGAAAAGAACTAGGGCGTATGTAGTAGGGAAAAAGAGAAAACACTCTACATTCTAAATGAAATAGAAGACTCCAAGTCAAAGCAGTACTCAGTCTGGGCTCCCTGAGTGGTTTAGACCAAGTCTTGTAGGAATGCATAACAGGAGAGCACCCTTCTTTTCTTGAATAGCGAAGAATGTGGAAGAAACTGTATAGGCGGTGTTCCTTAAAGAATTGGTAGAAGTTCCAATGACAAAGTTCATCAGAGGCGGGCATGCTCAGTAAAGGGAGAGGAGCAATCAAGAGGCAGATATTGGAAAGTACAGTGTGTATTCAGATAATATTGCGGCATCCAGTTGAATGGAATGTCAGGAAAATAATGGCAATAATGGCAGAGATAGCTAGAAAGGAGCCTGGGACCTGTTATAGAGAATGTGCCATTTATATAAGACTGAAAATTTAGAATTTAATGCAGGGCATTAATATAGAACTATTGAAGGTGATTTAGGAAGATTAATTGTGGAAAAAGAAGCAGTGTAAGTTGAATTTCAGTAGGGAGGTAAGTAGTGGAAGTTTAAACAATACAAAGCAAGGATAGAAGAAACTGTATACACTTTTGGCAGAGCCCTATTTCAATAGTCTTTCCATCTTTTATTAAAATTAACAAAATCATCATGATCTCTTACCTGGGCGAAGAGTACAGTTATAAGCAGGTAAATAGAGAATTCTTCTTGGCATGTTAATGTAAAACATTGCTTTACATTTGCCATAAACCTGAAATCAACAAATACATTTTATAACATGGTTGATTTAAAACCACGAGGTTTGAAAATACTCCCCAAATTAAAATTTGGAGGTTTCATTGTAAAGTAATGAGAAACTCAAAATCAAATTCTGTGATTAGGCTGGGAAAAAATGAAATTTATCATCAAACTGTTGAACCATTTCCTGGGACACAGTGAGCTATACTTCCCAACCTCCCTCAGAGTTAAGTATGGATCACTGAATTCTAACCACAAGATGTGAGCAGAGTAACTACTTTTTGGTCTGGCACGCTCTATTCGCTATGCTCTTTCCCTTGAAAGATGCAGCTGAGCCTGGTGACAACAGAAACCAGTAGTTGAAGATGGCAGAGCCTGAGCCACAGGAATATGGAACCCCTGTCTCCATATTCCTCCTGGAGTAAACCCCTCCCCCACCCTCCACCCCACCTCTGCTCAGAAACTTCTGTTTTGAACTCTACATGAATGAGAAATAAACTTCTATCATGTAAGAGCCAATATGTGTTTTTTAGTGTATGTGTTGTCATAGATAGTATCACCATAACAAATATAACCAACAACAGGGTAAATAGACTATTTGCTTTAAAAAATCAGTTAGGTGCACACTGACAAATTTGGTTAAATGATTAGAAAATATCTTGTTTTTAAGGCCTCTAGAATCTTCATTTCTGTATTTATATTTTTGGTCCCCTGTAAGCTGCCATCCCCCTGCAGTTACCCATGTTAACCATTAAGGATGAGTCCATCTAAATCTTTCTCTGTGCAAAAACTTTATATATATATATATATATATATATATATATATATACACACACACAAATATGATATATCTTTAGAAAATATATTTTGATCAAAATTTTTACTTCTAAACACATCACTATCTTGCATTCCTATTACATAGTTCATATCAATTATTGGAAATAATCACAGTGTGATTAAAAACCAAATCAAAACTAATGCTATTATTTTCAAATCTTTTCAATGGTCATCTTAGAAAGGATGGATTCTGAGGCCCAATAGGTCCTATGGTTACAGAAAACCCTTCCTTGGCACCCTTGAGGGTCCCATACTGTGAGCCATCCCTTTTCCAAGCCTCAAACCTCATGTCAGTGTTTACTAAAACCAAAAATAAAAGCAAAATAAAATGGAAAGCTCTCCCTCCATTGCTTCTGCTGTCTATCTTAATCTCATAGCCAGAATCTTTTCCTTAGATCTTTCTCTCACACTGGCTCAAAGCCTACCAGAGAGGTTTGGAGGTAGAAAACCATTTGGAGGCAACTCTTCAATTCTGGTCAGCATTATCCTAATGTGTCTTCTCAGAAATGCCTCTGATTAAATTTGGTTCTGTCCCCAGTGTTAGAATAAGCACACATGCACCTCGTCCAGGAAATTATACAGAGGGATATATTTTAAAAATGGCATACACTGAACAGTCTTCACCCTATAGAACTTAGTTTCTTTCCTGACAACCAGCACTCACTGATTCATGCAAGGGCCTCTCACTGCAGTCCTTCCATGACTTCCTGCTCTGCACATGGCAGCTGGTTTCCAGAACGTCCATAGTGAGGTAGAACAGGGATCCCAGGTCATCCTGTGGGGTGGGAAGGGGTGGAGAGACACACCATATCCCAGATGAAACAGAAACCCATGAAGACTAGATAAAACTGCCCCTGATTTCTGGGAGAGTCAAAGGACATGAGGTTTGTGAAGATGCCTTATAAACTTAGGTGTCAGAGAAAGCACATTGTAAGCACTTGTTCCCAATAAGAGCAGCTTAGCACCCCCTGGCAGAGGAGGGCACGGCATTCTTAGCAGGGTATCCAATTTGAAAAGCACCTGCCAACTGGGGGTTCCCATCCCTCTGGCCCATCTCTGCAGTCTGTCCAAATGCCTATCTCAGAAGGGGGACTGTCTATCACTTGCCTGTCTCTGTTCCCAGACATCCTTCACTCGGTTGAGGGCCAACACATAGCCATCCTTTTGTTGTCTGTTGATATCCTCTAGAGCTAAGCCTGCGACTGACAGCACATCTGAGTCCTTGCAGCCCCGAGAGACCAGTGGTGCAGGTTTCGGAATCTCCCTGGGTGGAGACACAGCCCTGCAGCAGGTGGCCAGGATACAGAGTACCAGCAGTTGGAGCAGACCCATTCTGTGGGGAACAAGGCCCAGGATGGGTCAATCCGTGAAACTGAAGGAGCAGGCTGTTCAGTGGGGCTCTTTAAGGCAGACTTGAGCCATTTTATCATTGCAATCTGAATGGCTGACAAGGATTTGAAATACTATTCCTAACTTATCACCTTGAATTCTGAACAAGCATTTCCCTGAGTCAATACTTTGGATAGGATTTGCCAATGCTGTAACCTTCCAACCTGTAGCAATCAATCTTGTATTCATGTGTGCACATAAACAAATGTAAGTTTCTTAAACCTTTTCCCCAAAATCATAGCAAACATTTGTTCAAGGCTCTTAGGAAATCATAACTAGATTCTCCTTTGTGTCCAGGTCTCCACCTGAATCAGAATAATGGGGGGTGGGTATCACCTTTCCACATTCCTCATTGCTGGTCTCCTCAGCTGGACATTTACCTCAGGCAGCAGCGCAAGATCATGGGAGCCCAAGAGACCCAGGGAGTTCTGACTTTCCAGCCAATCTCCTGAGTTCACCACTCATGTTAGCCCCGAAAGGCAGCCTTAGTCACCTACCACAAGCACAGGTGTGTTTCTAATTAGGAGCCTCACTTGGTTATTTTAAGCCAAAGACTGTATTTAAATGGAAAAAGGCTAATGAGATTTCAAAAGTTCTCACATAATACTCAGACTATTCTTCTTTCTATGGAGCTAATGGAAGCAAATTCGTAAGGGGCTAAAATCTACTACTGAGAGAAAGATAATGATGGGCAGGTAGGCTGGAACACTGGCCAGATACTGGTTGGGACTTTTGCCTTCCTCCTTCAGTTTGTTTGGGGTCAAGGAAGGTTCTACTTATTGAGGCTGTATGAAAGACAATTTTTTAAAAAATATTTACTTTCAAACACACACACACACACACACACACACACACACACACCAGCTGTAATTTATCATGGAAAAAAATAAAAGATCCATGACAAAAGAGAGCTTCTAGATTAGGTTATCTCCAAAAGCTTTCCTGGAAACCAAGTCATGAAAGGAATAGCACCCACGCCCTACCTGCCTTCTCCACCTCCCTGTCTTGCCCAAGGGTTCTGTTCAAATTGGTTTAGGAACCGTTGCCTCCATCTGTGTGCAGTGTTGGAGAGTATCCACACATAGAAAATATTAAAGGCTCTCAAAATCTTTGGGGAGATAAAAACCATTTAAACCAGATTTTCCTACACTTACTGGACTATGATAAAGCTGTTAATAACACCTGTAATTAACCCACAAGTATATTCTGGGAATTTACATACTAGTAGGTTAGGATAGCTGTCTGTGAGGGTTTTTTGATGAAATGAAAATTTTGACTGGAAGTGGAGATCTTCTAAATAGATTGAAAGAAATGTCCCTCTGGTCTGAACCGAAACACACGTGTAGTAAGCCATGGCTGACAGAGTAAACGAAATATAAGCAAAACATTTAATAGTTCTAAAGCAGCTATGTTTACTTAAATCTTTGCTTGCACAATAAACAAATATAAATACTTGTGTTGCTGGCTGTATCAATGTGGTTGGTTATTGTAATAAAATTTAAATTTCATTAAAAATGTGAACGAAGGGTCTGGGATTGTGGCTTAGTGGTAGAGCACTTGCCTAGCATGTGTGAGGCACTGGGTTTAATTCTCAGCACCACATATAACTAAATAAATAAAAATGAAAGTCCTCAATAACTCAGAAAAAAATTTTTTTAATGTGAATGGAAACAAGTTTTTTTTTTTTTTTCTCATTAGATAGCTGTGCTCATAGACAGGGAAATCATAATATCTGGGTCACTAACTGGGTGGTAGCACATAAGTTCACTGAAAACTACTTTTAAAGATAATTTAATAAATCCAACCGGCATATTTTCCAGATGAGAAAACTGAGGTTTAGGAAGATAGAGTGCCTTAAAAAAAAAAAAAAAGTTGTAAGTAAATTAATGGTAGTACAGAACCTTCTAGTTTAGAATTCTTTTCACTGGGCCAACATGATAGCAATGGCCTAATTGTAGTTCAATTACGTATTGAATGAACTTGGGAAGCCACTTACTTGCTGTAAGCCTCCATAGCTAAATCTGTCAAATGAGTGAATCTTAACACCTGCCTCAGAAATCATCCACATGGAAGACCAGACCAGAGCTTGGCTTGCAGTGCCAGCTCTTGACAATCACGATAGCTCTCTATAAATCAGCAAGCACTTACTAAGTATCCCGACAATGCTCTCAGGAATTGAAGGTAAGACCAATCTGATTTGAAAATGGCTCCCAAAGTTCATTTCTGATGCAACAGTGTTGAGAGGCGGGACCCTCAAAAGGAGGGTCTGCCCTCACGAATGGCCTCCTGGCAGGATCACAGGAGTGGGTTTATTATGAAAGCGAGGTCGGCCTCTTCTTGCCCCCTTTCTCCTTGGCTCTCCTGCCTTACCCCATGGGACAACATGGCAAGAAGGAAGGCCCTCTCCAGCCCTGGGCACCTTGACCTTGGATTCCCAGCCTCCAGAGCTGCAAGAAACAAATCTGTTCTTTATACGTTCCCAGGAATGCTGTTATACCAACACAAAATGGACAAAGACTAATAAAAATTGATAAGGTACAGTCCTAACTAATTTCTGGAAACAAACAAGAACTTTTTGAGGATTGATTTACAGAATGCAGATCTAAGGATCTCTGTTCTTTACAGGTGGACTGTCGGCATGGCTTTTCAAATGAGAACAATATGAGGAGAATGTACCCAGAAACCAGAAATGGGTATTGTTAAAAAATTCGAATCGAGAGTCCATTAGACTGGAGAGGCTCTGGCACTTTAAATTCCTACAGGAACAAATCAAAGCCCAAAGTAAACAGAAACCTGAAACTTGAAACCGAACCAACCAGAAACTACCAACTAACCTTTAGCTAGGAACTTTCCACGTACTCCTCCAGGCAAAATTGTTTTCCTTGTCTTGCTTCTGCAGAAACTTTATGAAAAGTTTCCCCATCCTGTTATTCCTGGCAAAGTGTCAGCTGTTGTGGTCCAGCGCTACCCTGAATGCTCAAATAAACTCTAAAAATTTAAAGATTTAAATTTAAAGATGCTCAGGTTTTTCTGTTTGTCAGGATAGAAAAAGACTTTGCAATTCTGGGATAAAACAGAGTTAATTTTGCAATCAGTACACAAACGTTCTTTGAGCTGTTTCAGCAGGTAGGTCTGAGGCAGGAGGAAATGAACCAGCCCCATAGGTGAAGGCCACTAGTGCAACTACAGTGAAAGGCAAGACGAAAACAAACAGATTAAAAGGGACCGAATGCTGACCCCATGGTCAGGTGGACTTCAACACAGATCCTGGATCAATCTGATTTGTGTGAGGTGAGCTTTAGTGGCAAAACCTTTCGGAAGCCCAGTTCCTCCTCTGTGAAGTCAGGTTAAAGCAGTTTCTTAGAGCCCCTTCAGTGCCAACGTGAAGATGGCACATAACTTCATCCTGTCCCGAGAAGATGCCACTCCTCAGGTCCATCAAGATGGACCTGTTCATCACGTCCCAGGGATCTGGGTTTCAAAGTAGTATCAACAACCTGAGCCCAGTCCCTTCTAGTGTGCAGAGTATGGGAGTCATGGGACACAACAGGATGAAGAGCCTAATCTTTGGAGACAGCAAGTCCTGGGTTTAAGTTCTACCACCAGCACTGTGTGGTAAAGGGTCTGAGACACCACGGGCATGCCATCTGATTTAGTTTCCTTTTCTGAAAAACAATGATGCTCTCAGAGTATGCACAAATGTGTAGAAAGAGGACAACATATTTCCTCTTTCCCTAGAAGCCCTGGCCAGGTACACATGTATTTGGTTCCTACCACATGTGGGGAAACTTTAGTATCAGCATAGAATTGTAGTTTCAGCAGAGGAGTGAGGAGTGAGACTTTGAAGACAGATCAGCCTGGGTTTGAAGCTTGATTGTGGTTTAGGGTAACTGTTGAATCCAGCACCATCTAGTAGAAATACAACATAAATCACGTTAATTCTATCATTTCTAGTAGCTGCATTAAAAAGTGGAAAGAGGGGCTGGGGTTGTGCTCAGTGGTAGAGAGAGTACTTGCCTAGCATGTGTGAGGCACTGGGTTCAATTCTCAGCACCACATAAAAATAAATAAATAAATAAAGGTATTGTGTCCATCTACAACTCAAAAAAATTTTAAAGTTGAAAGAAATAAAGCTAATTTTAATAATATTTTGTTTAACCCAATCTGTCCAAAATACTATTTCATATGTGTGATTAATATACAAAAATTATGAGACAGTTTACATTCTTTGTTTCGCACCACAACATGCTTCTGTGTAGACTAGCCATATTGAAGGTGTTCAAGAATCATGCCACTTTCTTAGACAGCCCAGGACTAGCCCATGGAGCCTCAGATTCCTCTGGTGTAAAAGGGAAGGCAGCAGGGGTATCCATCTCCAAGGTATGATAAGGACTGATCACAGGAGTTGTAATGTGTTTAGCAAGAGCCTGGAGCATATGACACCCAGGAACAATGATCACTGTCAGTACCTCTGAAACCTCATCTTATCCCACCCAGCACGGATTCCCATGTGACTGTGCCAGTGGCCTTTTCCCAATCCAGCAACAGGGAAGTGGTCACACCTGAATGGATTTATCACCAGGTGAGAGTCAGGTTAGAAGAAACAGGCAATTGTCCTTGAGTGAAGAGGAGGCTCTAGAGGGCATCCTGCCCACCTGCCTTCTGACACTGGAGTGATTCAGGGCAGCGATTTAGGATTGTTGACTTTAGAAAAGGGAGAAGTCAGATAGTTGAGGTTTTGCTTGGGGCAGAGCTGGGAGATGGACAGTACAAGCTGATCTGTAATCTAGGAGATTAGATCTTGGGGAAGTTACAGGCACTTAAGAGGGTAGGATGTATACTCAAGCAAATTATTCAGCAACCACAGCACTAAAATATCAGGCTAGTGTTTTCCTGGCTAAAAATATCCCTGTAATGAGTCTGTTTATCTTTCTCTGTGTCCTTTCCCCTCTTTATCTTTTCTCCTTCCACGAACACAGAATGAACAACAGCTGAGGCCCAGCATGATACATAACACTGAGAAGTTCTCAGTATATGC